GTGTGAGGATAATCCAAGATAAATATCCGTGTGAATGAGGGGGGAGTTGAGGATCCGCGCGGCTGGCGACATGCTGCGAATAGTAGGGGAGCCCTGTGTCGGTGGTGGAGCGACCGGATTAAGGCGTGTGAATAAATACGAGTCACAAGAGCTAGAAGCATCCACTAAAAGAGATTGTACTAATTCAAATGCAAATTTACAAAATCCCCACTTCATCTTGGAACTGTGCTTACTTTGCTGTATAGGTAGTAGTAGTAGTCTCGATTTTATAAAATCTCTAGTTTTAAGGTGAGCTGGACACGTAGTGAGTCTGGGCAATTCTCACGGCTGCGATAAACATGGATCGATTGCAAATAACAGCAGCTTAAACACTGGAAGGCAGACACTGGCCGTAATCGATGAGCAACGAAGGCGATCCTGAACGTTAAACGTTTAAAGCAGGTTGCTCTTAACAATAAATTTTATGACAGCAAATTTACAACAGTAACTGCATAAAAACAAATAAGCGCATTTGTTGCTAGTTGAAAACTTGAACAGTTTTACGACAAACTCGGTACAGTAAAACAAGGGGGTATGCGGAAATAACACGACAAATGTTCTCATCAAACAATCTAGAAATCATTGTCTCAGTTATTTGCTTTCGGGATGTTAAACCAGCATTTTGCAGAAACTATCCACTAACCGTCTACTCCGGTGATTATTTGACGTGCTCGTGTAGAAACAGCCTAAGGACGGAAGTTCGAGAAAAGAATTCGCACACGTTGTGCTGAAATGCTAGCGTTGGTTATAGAGGTGTTTATCATCGGGGCGATTCACCACAGCCACATTGCACAGCAAGTCTGGATGTGCACAAACATGTCTTTTGTCCTTTTTGTAGGAATTGGATCTGAGCAGCAACAAGATCAGCGCCCTGCCGGACATCACCGGACACTCCGCTGAGGGCCTGCCGCCTGTTCTGCTGGAGGACCTCTGTGTGCTCGATCTGTCGCGCAACGCCCTCACCTCGGTTCCCCCCTGGCTGTTCGGTCTGTCGTTGTCGGCGGTCACGTTCGCGCCGCGTCTGGGCACCCTTCGACTGTGTGGCAACCAACTGCGCAGCGTGCCCCGACACATGTGGCTCGCGGCGTGTCTGTTTTGCCTCGACTTGAGCCAGAACCGACTGACTAAGCTGCCCAAGTTGTCCGTCGAGGAGGTCGCCTTCGCCGCGAAGACTCGAGCCCTCGGTCGACCGTCGGTTTTCCCGTCCTCCAGTAAGGTGCGAATGCGACAGCACCTCTTCTTTTGACTGCAAAACACCGCGAATCCGTGTTTGACCGTCTGTCACTTGACGATTTCAGGTAGTTTCTGCCGCACGCGAAGTCTCCTGTCTGCCACAACTGCTGAATGGCGTGAAACAGGTCTCAATGCTGACGTCCGGCAAAGATGAGATCGTTCGCAACTCAGGTAACTGCCTTCCTTAAAGGTCCTCCAGTAAATGTGCGTGACTCTGAATTTGAAGCCAACGCAACTGGGCAGCTAAGTAATCCTTTGTTGAAGTGAACCAAGCGTTTAATGGTTCAGCAGACAACGTCTTCGTTGATTTTTTGGCAAAAGGGCTCTTAAATAGTCCTCGGGTTTTTAGCACAGCCCAAAGAAGACATTCCAGGCATGAAAATGAAGTGAATGAAGATAATACTGAAGCGTTATTGAGTAATGCTTCATGCCTGTCATGTCCGCGAGAAGCCAAGCTTTTGTGGCGTTCGTCTTGTGGACTTCCGCGAACTACGAGCAAAGGCAACTTCAACAATATGCTTGTCTTCAAATTTCCGCACGTACATTAGCCCCCTCCCCAGGTCAAGGAAGATATTCCTACGAATCTGCTAATTCAAAACGATGAAGGCGACTGCTTGCCGTGTCTCTTTGTGTAGTTTGAACGAATTTTCCCTCAAATTGACGGTTCCTCACCCCTGGTGTCCATTTTGCAAAGCAATCACTATGAATGTATGCCCTCTAGTTATTATATCGTTGCTGGGGCTCGATTTTTGATCCGAAACGAGAACTGAGGACTTCTAACGATCAAGCTGGTCAATTTGAGATCAATTAGACGTGCTTGCATTAACTGCTTTGTCTGACACGCAGTCGGTCGTTCGATTGTCCGAATAGCTGCTGTTGGGAACGTAGGAACGTGGGCGTGCACTGTCCGCCCGGCCACTTACCAATTGACCTGTGACACTGGAACTCGGCCAGCTCCTACACCCTCGTTCGTGTTGCCGTCTTCGTCAATTACTACGCACGATGTTTGTTTGTTCCGCTCGTATCGGTGATACTTTAACCAAAATAGGCATCTTTGCATGGGAACATCACTTGACCTTGTGGATGATCCTACTTGTACCATTATCGTGCGTGTTACTAAAGGCGCTGGTAAGTTATACCATGCGTCCTAATCCCGTCGACGTTGAAAAAACAGTTAGGTGATTCGTAAATAGTTAACAAACCACATTTACCGCTTCAGTGTGTGTGTTTATGTGTGTGTGTAACAGCTTGTGTAAATTCCCACTCAAGCACTGTTTGTCCCCGTAACAAAAGAAAGCAGCTGTCAGGGAATTGATGTAAATAATGCAATAAATGTGGATAATCCTACTTGTACCATTATTGTGCGTGTTACTTAAAGGCACTGGTAAGTTATACCGTGTATCCTAATCTCGTCGACGTTGACAAAACAGTTTGGGGATTCGGAAATTGTTGGCAAACCACATTTACCGCTTCAGTGTGTGTGTGTGTGTAACAGCTTATGTAAATTCCCACTCAAGCACCGTTTGTCCCCGTAACAAACGAAAACAAATGTCAGGGAATTGATATAAATAATGCAAAAAAATCGGCTATAAGCAATCTTGGGGAATCCTGGATCCTTAAAACCCCGATCAACTCAAAACTTAACTGTCGCCTGCAATTTTTTAAATCTCTCTTTACGCTAAAGTTCGAGAAACAAAGCATGCAGAGAGAATAGACGATGTGTTCGATCAAAATCAGGGATCATGGACAGCTGTGTGCCTGGTTGTAGTCTCTATTTGCATTGTGTAAGATTTCCCGCGTGGTGTTCGGCAGACTTACTCACCTTCCCAACCCACGGATCAATCTGTCGAGACTAATGCGGCGCTGGAGCATCCAACGACGCGTCCTTGAGCGTTGGTTACGGAATGCTCACGACTTGATTTGTAGTCTACTGTGTTTTCCTTCTAGTCGGTGGTGCCAGTGCCCAGTCGCCAGCACCTCCACACCGAGACGGAGTGAGTCGCGACGGCCGCGTGTGGACGGGGGGTCTGGTGCATTTGTGGGTTCAGCGCAATCGACTCTGCGAACTTCCGCTTGAGACGCTTTGCGCAGACGTGGGTTTGAGCCAGCAGGCGCCGAATCTGGCCAGTCTAGACGCCAGCGGCAACCAGCTGACGCAATTCGGCTCGCCCTCGGACTACCCCCCTAGCCTCATCTACCTCGATTTGGCCAACAACAAGATCTCCGCAGTCGGACCCAGTGACGTCGGTTCCGGTGAAGCGGAGTGAGTTGTTCTGCTTCCGCTCGTATGCGTGCGGATCGTCTTCCGTGATTCTCCTGGGTTCAGTTGTTAACGCAGACTGCTCCAGCGGCAACCCTTAGGGGTTGGTTTTGCCTAGCCGAAGTAACCGCGCCCCCCCTCTTGAAATCGAATAGAGTTGGATTGGTGCAGTCCACATCGGAGGCAAACTTGAACTCAAACCCACACGCCGGGTCAGCAGGCCCACTACAACGTAATGCAGAGTGAAACTGTGGTCAAGAGATAGTAAAGTGCGCCAAGAGAAGCCAACTTTTTATCACCCTGAAAAATCTAGACCATAAAAGCGGACCAGGCCTGGCTATTTAAGAATGTTGATGAGGTCTGTAGATAATCCCAAGTTTGTTTATCTTTACTAGCCTGTGACTCCGCAGTAGAAAGCTACTAGAGCCACTTCAGGAAAGTAATAGCCTTCTTAGTGGGATCGATTACGTGAGTCAGGATTTACTTTGAAAGATCAACCTTTTCCATGCCAAAATTCACCACAAAGTGAGAAACGGATATTTCAGCATATCCGGGCTGTGCTGATCAGACGGTAAACTGAGGCTTTAAATTCTCCGGTACATGTCCGATCACTGTGGCTGACTGCCTCATTTGATCCTCCATAATGGTGATGCTGTCGCTAGAAGAGGGAAATCTGAATGGATCACCGGAAAACCCAATGGAGGTCGACAGATTCAGGTGTGCAGGACACCGGGAGTACAATCGTGGCCGATTTTTAAGTGGAGAGTCACCTGCCGGACAAATCGATGACGAGCCTGTACTCAATTATTGGACCAAGGGCTTACCTGTTGATAGTCCATGAGTATTTTAGAACGCCGATGTTAGGCACATCCACTAGCTCAAGCGAGACGCAGCGAATCTGATCTCAATCACTGAAGTCGGTCTGTGAGCAGATCCACCAATGCATTCCGACGAATGCCGGCCAGCCCGCTGGAGACATAAGCGCCTGGTTCACTCATTTTTTATCGTTTGGTGGGAAATGTCATCTTCGTGGGCAGATGCTTGCCGCCATCTGCCGACAATGACTTAAACAGAATTCGTAACGACGTGGAGAGTCACAACGGTTAGGCGAATTTGTTCTAGACGGAGGTGTGGAGCATGGTGTCGCGTTTTACCCTCGAAATGCGGTGATGGTTTGACTACGGGAGATGATCTCCTGGAATTCGGACAACGTGTTTTGATTACCTTGGGATGTGGTTGGTTTCGAAGGGTCCGCATGAAGGCGACTGCAGTCGTTCGCAGTGCCCGAATTGTCAGGCGGCAGTGGTTGGCTGTGTACTGCTAATGCTGATGGATGTGTGTAAAGCAGCTCCTCGTTGAAGCGGCAAGCCACACGGATGCCAAGGTGGTTACAACCACGCAATCTCAGGGGTGGTGGCAGTCACTGTGCCAATATTTCGTAAAATTATCCGAAATCCTTGAAAACCACTTACTTTTAAGGTATTCGTTGTTCGCGTTTGTTTGAGGTAAAGGCGTGAAGTTTCCATCTTATGAGAAGACAGCGCCCTGCCACGGGAAGACACATCGAAAAGAACATGGACGCTATCACCTCCAGGAAAGCTGTGCTAATGATGTTAACCTAAGTTTAGCTAAGACTCATTTATGCACACCCACGCATTGACAATAAAGGTGTAAATGACTTTGATTGCTTGGAGTTAATTTGGTTAATCGAGTTAACTCCTCTTCAAGTACGCCTCCTCGCAGTGCACCTTATTCGACGCCATGAGCGATTTTGACGTGTTTGTGGATTAGACTTCGGCACCAAAGTAATGCGTCGCTTGTAAAACGGGACTTGAGCGAATGAACGGAATATTTGACAACCCTAACATTCATGAATACGCCTTGAGAGATGCTGTGTGAGTCACTTTGTCGCCGTCACCAGCCTTTCATTGTACCGGGTGGTATAACAAAGTGCTGGTAGCAACCATCATTGATACTGACTACAAGTTCGCCGTTTCGATTGGTCCGATTGTATTCACTTTGGCAATGTCCGGAAAATTTGTTTTTTTTTGCGACTTTGGGTTATGGTTGAGCAAGAAGGTTGGAAGAAGGAGTTGAGGTTGTAATCACAACTATCGCTCGCGAGGTGTTGTGTGATTCGCTTTCTCTATTTGCGCTTTTTTTAGATTTCTTCGAATTGAAAAAGCGCAACTTTCGAATTCCGTAGTTCTGCTCTTTTTTTTAAACGAAAACATTTTTGCGCTTACACTGGCGATGTGACAAATCACGCGGTGTCTTGTCGACGGGTTTTTACATTTTTTCGACAAATCTCTTACCTTGCATTGTGCAACTCAGGACTTTCCATACCACACAACTGTTTGCTGACCCGATTGGTGTGCATTGGATCAAAACTTGGTTTCAGGCTCCTCCTCCTAGTAACCCCGCCTGAAGTGACATTCGACAAACGTCTTATCAATATCGGTAACCTTTTTAAACACGGCCAACTCCTCCTTAAATGTGATTGCTGTCACACATTTTCTGTTAACCGTCCTCTTAAACCGAGGTTAATCTTCACGCTAATTGGTCCGACTCAGCGTTTGGTTGTAAATTTCTTGGGTTAATTGATGTATGACTGTGTATGTGGCAATTTTTTTAATCAAACATCTTCCTTTACACCGCTCGATACTTCACGAGAACTAACTGTCTTGCAGCTACTTCAAACGAGCTTGTGTTTGGGTGTTTGTCGGTCCGGTGACCCCCTTGGCGACTTCTCACGCTTCCTGTCTTTCTTTTAGAAATGATGCGAGAGAACAAACTGCTGCATCGGTGGTCACAGGCGGTCAATTACCGAACCTGCTACACCTCTGCCTTCGCAACAACTGCCTCACCACGTTCAACCCAATGACGCCACAAGCGGTGGGTTAACTCCTTCTGTTACCCCCCCTCTCTCTCTCGCCCCCTCTTACGCTTTTACTCTGCTTTTGTTGACAGGCCGGAGGTGGGGATGCGCCGCAGCATTGGTTCCCTGAGCTGACGAGTCTCGATTTGTCAGGCAACGCAACGCTGAAGAGCCTAGGCTCGGTGATTTGTTGCTGTGAAAAGCTGTCGTCGTTGGAGTTGGACGGCTGTGCAAGCCTCTCGGAGGTGGGTGCAGCCGTGTGACTGGGTGTGCACGAGTCGTGAGCTCGAACTCTGTCGCCGCTCGCTTATTTGCCTGACATACTTTTTTTCCACCTCGTGCCTCCTTCCCCCCGAATTAGGGGCCAGCTATGTTGCTGGAAGGACGGTAATTCCGGTTCCATGGTGTGAACTCAAACGCGTTTTTTGGACTAAAAACCAACTCAAATGAATCATGGGTTTTCAGTTTCGCCTGATAGCATTTCACGATGTATCTGCCAACGATTAACACAAATCCGCTTTCATTGAACTCGTATGGTCGCCACCAGCAAGCAGTTCGTCCGATTAACGTCTCATGATTCAGCAGCACGGTTATGGGGTAGATACACAAGATCGCCTTCCAGGCAGACTGCTTTAGTCTTCCACATGCTAATAAGTGTGCACGTGAAGTCCTGCATTGTCGCGATTCGCCAGGTCCAACAGTTGCTTCTGAAACTGAAGTCTACTCCCGTTTTACTAGTTGTTGATTGCAGATGTGTGAGGCATGTGGTTGTCTGGAACCAGTTCGAACAACACAACACCAGATTGGCAGTTTGGTCTTTGTGGTGTAATCTAGATGTTGTTGATGTAGCTATGGATGGTTCATCTCGCTTGGGCCATAATCGTATTCGACTGAATGCATTGAAGTCTACCGACGTTTTACGACAAGTGGTGGTGAAAAGGGGAGAAATTCGTAGATGCATATCTGCATGTGACAGTTTTCGAGTTGTTGTGTTAAGTGGATTTGCCTCTTTTCGTGCTGAATCCACATCTGAACCTGCTTAAGGCATCAACGACATTTCGGGTGTTCTTCATTGGTTGTGATGTGTCAAACACTCGACCCCTCTGCACTCCCTGTCGTACAGTTATGTGACCACACTTAGACTCACTAGTGGCTGCAACTTAGTCATCGTCCAATTCATTTGGTTGGTTGGCCAGAGTGAAGTCGGTCAATGTTGAGTGAAAGGCGCTTGTTTCAGCTAATTTCGACGCGTTCTTTTTAATTTAACCATGAACAACAGCAACTTTGCAGAGATGGAACGGTGTTGAATACCATGAAATCAGATCCCACATTCACGACAGCCCATAGCACTTGCAAAAGGCATTTACGACACACCGCCGTCAGGTGATCTAGCGACCTCGTCTCCGCGAATGAAAAACCGCGGAACCGCGACACGACCAAGGTCGTGGGTTTGAATTGAAGGGAGACGCACGTGGAAGACGAAACACGTGCAGGCAACCTGATCGATGTCACTCGGGCCCGGACGGGCCGTTCTCTCGCGCCACCCCACCGATGTCAGAGTGGATTCAGAGCTTCCTGGTCAAGAATTAGTCCGGGTGTTGTGGTGGCCCTTCTCTTCAACAGCAGTTAGAGAGTCGGGAAAAATTCGAGCAAACTTTTTGACTTTCAAAATGGGGACAGACGTTTGGCTCAGTTGACATTGCGACGTTTGGGAGCGCTCTGTCAACTCACCTCGACAACACACAAGCTCGGTTTAGCAGTGTTAAAACGAAGTCTTCAATTCTGGTCTGGATTTGTGTAATTTGTGTGCCTGAAGGGGACGATGTAAATCGTCTGGCCAGCGAGGTTAGTTAGTCCTTGTCGCTCCTCACTCATTGGCTTGCAAATCTTGAGGGAGGGCAACGACGTGACTCGAAGGATTAGCAAAAAAAGGCCGTTGATTTTCCAATCACTCAATCCCTGGATATTTGGTTTAGATAACCGGCGTTCAACTTTTATTGTAGCATTGTCGACGCGCTAGACGACAACGGCCTGTCAGCCTATCTGGTCGCCGCGTTTTACGGCCACGTGGATTGCGTTCGCCAGCTCCTCGAATTTCCGGACATCGCTGTGACTTCATCGTCTTCGCCAGACGAATCCGTGGTTGCTGACGACGTTGGTGACCCCTTCAGTGACGATCCCAACGGATTGGCCTGCTTTGTAGACGCCTTCCGAACGCTTAATTTGCAGTGGTATTTCACCAAGGACGGTGCTAATTCGGTTGTACTTAATCCCAAAAGCCATCCGTCCGGAGACGGTCACTTCATTTGTGGCAAATTCAATGCCTTCCACCTCGCTATCATGACAGGGTATGTCTATAATTATTACTACTTACATAACTTAAGTACACGTTACTTTGAAACCAAAAACGCGTTTTTGTAGTAACTTAGACCTCGCCAATTTCATCTGCGGTTACATGGAGGAAGAAGAATACCGCGGACTGGGCTCAGATGCTGGCGCCTGCGTCCAATGTGCTACTCTACCAGTGACTGAGTCGGTCGACCTCAAAGAACCGCTTGCAAGGCAGTCTCGCATGAAGCTCCTGGCTAACCCTGTCGGATTGGCGTGCTGCTTAGACGACGTGGTCACCCCAACGCAGTGGGTGAGTGTTATCGGTGTTTAATTACACACAAACCCCTCCCCCCACCCACGCGCATCTTGTTTTGGCACCCTGCGTCTGATTGGTGAATTCTCGTTTAAATGGGAAATAGGAACTGCCAATCAGTAGCTGTGGCCAAAAGTACAACCAGTGCTGTGTCAGGGTTATTGCCAAACTCAGAAACTGTTCGTCTCCACTCGTGCACGGACTCATACCGCGTGGTGTTTGCTTTGTTGTTGGACTTTTTCGTTCTAAAACACGTCCACTTCTGCGCCACTAACTGTATTTTATGAGTATCCGCTCCGCGCAATTTTTAAATCGCCATTACCAATATTTATAAAGTGCTTTTTAATTTCGTCAACGCCCTCCATTAAAGCATCTAGGAATAGGGTCATCCTCCATTGGTCAACTCAAGGTCAAGCCAACTTTAATGTCGCTCCCCTATTGGTCAACTAAGGGTCAAGTCAACTTTAAGCAGAAGATCCGCAAGGTAGATTGGGCTGAAAGCACCAAACTCAATTTGCGTTGGGATGGCTTGTCTCTCTCGCAGTTATGACTGTAGACAGACATGTTGCAGCCCCCGACATGAAGTCTAGAAACGGCAGACTCGATACAATTGTGTTAGTCGCGCCGCTGTTCATTAAAAAAAGTCGTGTCTGAGTTATGGGGGATTGTTGACTAATATAGTCTGGGTGAATTTGTAAAAGTACAAACGTCTGATAAATTAAACGGGTAGCTTTGGGTGATGTATGCGCTAGATCCATTTAGGATGCTGTGAAAATCAGGTCAGTGCGGCGAAGCACGATTCCCTACAGACTCTGTGGGTTATTTGGGCAACAGCACCACGCCGGGTTCGATAAGGTAGCCTCAAGTGGGGTTCCTCTAGTGCTTAATCTTTGACTTGTGGTCTGCATTCAGTTGGCAACAGGGATGTTGCGTGTGCTGGCATTCCACGGCGCCAAGCCACCACCAAACCACGCACTCCTACACCTCCTCATGGATCGGCAGCGTTTCCTCCTGGTCGGTTGTGTGCTCTCCATGTGCCCCAGAGGCACGCCGAACGTCGTTGACTGGTCGAACAGGGCCATTTTTCGACACCTGCCCGATGAGATGCTGGCCAGCGAAATCCTCGGAACCCTTATCGCCGATTGGTTAACGTGGCTCGTCGACGCGAGGTCGGCGCCCAGTCACCACCTCACTGTCTGTCGACCTCCTCCCGGATCGGGGGTGTCGCTCGACTCCCTGACCAAAATCAACTTGTCCAACAACGCCCTCATGGTGGTACCGCTGTGTCTACTGACCCAATTGCCGCGTCTACAGGTGAGCGAGTGTGGCTTGCTTTGGAACTGCCGTGTCAAAGAACCCCAGCACATTCCTCGACGCTCAGGAGATTGTTTGACACCCTATCTAGGCGCACTGACAGTACCCTTCAAACCTAGTTACTTGGATGCTGCAAAGGCTGCATGTTCGAACCCCTTTCCCCCTGTTTTGGTCCAAAGTTTACTGGTGAGATGCCGAACCCAGTTACGGAGTTGAAAACACCTCCAAAATCCCAAAGCTGACAATTTACGTAACTCTGTTCAAAGCAAGTGGAAGGGAATGAGATTGTGGGCCCCAGCATGTGGTCTTGAACCACGCCGGGTCCACGGAATTAACCCTGGCCCGATTACGCTTGCCTGATACCTGCGATGAAGGAAAAAGCCGGAGAGGACGAACACAAGCGTTTACTTCAGAGCTCAATCACGTTAGTGTCGCTGTGTCGTGTGTGAGGTTTGCGCGTGTGTATTTACACCTTACCTGTGTGATTCATAACTGCGCTAACATCGAGACCCAT